TTTTTATTCTATAATTGAAGACAGAAATTTAATTTTACCCCCCAACGTGTTCGGCCTATAAACGCGCGCGTGTCTGTGTGTGGGTGTTTGTTCGAGATGTTTGAGGCTTTGTGGGCCTGTGAGAGAGTGCCTACTTATTATATAAAGTTATCTAAACCTTATTAGGAATGAACCAAGCTGCCATTGCCATGATTTCCACTCTGGATTGTCTTTGATGGGGGTAGAAAGTATTCAATTTGTTTATTAAATAAATGCTGGCGCACATAAGTATGATTCAGTGCGGCAAACGCACACGTACACACCCTGCAGCACACACGCAAACGCACACAAACATACACACATTTACTTTTTGGCCATACGTCGATTGTAGCAACATGTCTTCTGACAATCGCAGTACTTTTTTTTCTTTCTGAGCAATTACACTCGCACATCGTGCACAACGCAAAGTTGCTGAAGGTAAGGGGAGGGGGCTGTACAGTTACGAGAGCGAGCCCACATTTTATAAACTTTTATTATTTTGACTAAATTCCGCTCCCTCAACTCTAAGCCCCCCCTCTCGCACCCATCAATGGCGCTCTTTTGCCCTTCGAAATGTCAAAATATTGCAGACAAAAGTCTGTTCCTAGCTTAGGGCATTGCCAGGCTGAAATTCTGAAAGACTCACATGTTTTTCATGGGAGAGAGCAGAGAGCACAAAATAAAGAAATAAAACGTATGCAAATGAATTAAAGAGTTCCTGTACACGCATACAGAAATATGTATGTGATTATGATTCAATGAGAGGCGGAAATGTTTAATTATTTATTTTGAACTCTAGGTACGCATTTACTTGCCTCAGTTAACCCTTAGTTAGGGGATATTACAAGGTGGAAGTACCAGCAGTTTCAAATTGACCGCCACTTGTCGCTCTCCCATCAGTCACGCTCTCCCTTTTGTCGGGCTGCACACGCTCTCTCTCACTCTCCCTCTTCTCTGTACTCGAACAGTGCTGTGATAGCTCCCAGGGCTAGTGCTTTTCTTACTGTTAACTTATAACTATAACTTTGATTTCTATCAGTGCTCTTGACTTCACATTCAAATACATATTGAAAATTAGTCCCCTTCAAAAAATTCTATAGAATTTACTATTACTGCACGTAAAACCTTTTTTTGTTGACGCATACGAAAGGTTGTCAAATCGCCTCAAAAACATTCGACTTGAGCACAGGCGACTGTTATGTTAACAGAGCTGCGGCTCTCGAGCACAGGCGACTGTAACAGAGCTGCTGCTCTCACAGGACCCAAGAGAGCGAAATCCTTTCGCCGCTCTCCGCGCTCAAAACTCAAACTTGGAACGGTAAACTGATTTTTGTGCAACATTTCATGGCATGTTAACAATTGGGGTGGACTCTACCTTACATGTGTTATATTTTCTGTGCCGTTTTGCCTGTTGTCCATGCCCTATTTTTTGCTTGGCAACACACATTTGATGCCGCACAACATTTTTAGGCACCAGCAACATTTGAGGGCGGGCGTATTTGAATGAATCGGCCTTGCCGCCCGAACATGAATGAAACATGTTATGGCCACGGAAAAGGACACAACACAACGGTCAATTTTGCTCCAAATTCAGAGAAAGTGATATTCTCGACAAAGTGTCGGTGTCCTTCTTCGAGCGACGCTCCGGACGAGTCATCGACTTCAAAGCGTACGCAATCCATACACTCTCCCTTTTTTTTCCAGTGTTCCGTGTCAGTGTGTGCGAGCGCGTTTCAGTGTATGTGTGTGTGACTGTGTGTGCTATTGGCGTGCGAGCATAAAAGAACAATAACAAAAACACACACATCCCAAGTATGCCATTGTTGTTGCATGTCTGCTAACAACAACAAATTAAAGCCAAAAAAAGGAAAACAATTAAGCAAAAAAAAAAAAATATTAGAGCACCAATTGAACCGGGATTGGATTGAAGTGAATATATGTATATGTGAATCCCTCCCCCAGAGGAGGGCCAACGCCAAAGCAGCAGATAAGATCAATGCAAAGATAGACATTTTAAATCCTATGTAATAGACACTTTCTGGTTCGATCTTCCACCAATTAAATGTGAACGGAAAAGTAAATCAATTAAAGGGTCTCTCGTTTTCCCCTTTCCCCAGTTATCTGTTCTTCTTTTTTCTTTCTTGTTTTTTCCATGTGCTTTGTGTGTTCTGTTTCACCGTTGAGTTTTCACCATTCACCGCTGAAGCGTTGTACCGTTTTGCGTTTTTTTTAAAACAGCCCAGTTCTGGTTTCTAGTTTCTCCAAAAACGTGTGCAAAAATGGGCGAAAATTGGGGAATATGCCCACTGCTGTTTTACTCATTGATGGAAGATTGATACATATATAATACAGATATGAGCAAATGAGATCCAGACTGTTAACTAATAATTTGTGAATAAATCGTAGCAGTCATGCATTAGTGGAGGAACGTAGTTAGGGAACGTGGAACAGTTCTGTGCTGTTTGTCTTCTTGGTTAACTTATTGTGTGTTTTTTTCGTTTCGCTCTGTGCTGGAAACCGTCTAGCGCCCTGCCCCCGCCACGCCACGACCCAACCCAGCTGCTCTACCATTTGAGTCAGCAGCGGGAGGGTTGGTTTTTGCTGCCGCTCTCCGCTCTTCACCATCCTACTGTTAACTCCTTATTACCGTCCCACCACTGACAGTGCTGGTTGTTTTATTTTTATACCCACTCGAAGAGTAAATAGGGTATATTGTATTTGTGTGAATAACGGTTGTATGTAACGCACAGAAGGCAACGTTTCCGACCCAATACAGTATATATGTTCTTGATCAGCATCAATAGCCGAGTTGATAGAGCCATGTCTGTCTGTCCGTCTGTCCGTCTTTTTTGTCGGCTAGTTCTCAGAGACTATAAGATCTAGAGCCACCAAATTTTGCATCCAGACTGCTATATGCTCACACTGAAACCAGTGTATTTTAAAAATGAGCCCCGCCCCCGCAAAAGGGCGAAAACCTCCCAAATCTACAATTTTGAAGATAAACGAAAACTAAAAACGCCATTCCGTAGGGAATGGCCATATCTATCAGATAACCACATTGGGATCCGATTGGATCAGTATTATAGCCAGAATGAAGAAATTAATTTGCAATGGCTATGACAAATTACCGCTAAGTTGCAGATGTAGTCCTGAGTGCCGGGCATAAAAGTTGTGACGCGTAAGAAGCGTCTCACACGTCCCTTCTAGCTTCGTTTTTCTTTTGCGCCACTTTCGTTGCCCTTAACTTTAAAACAACCACTCAACCGTCCCGTCTCGTTCCGTCGCCGACGTCATTATAGCAGCCATACAACAAACCAACACGGAACCAACACGAAACGAACAATACCGCCCCACCCCCCATCCACCAACCCGCACTACGCACTATTACCCCAACGCGTTTACTGGTATTTGGAGTTATTAAAAAAAAAAATTTACAGCAGTCTGTCGCTCCAAGCGAAGAAGAGAGAAAAGCAAAAAAGCTCTCTCTGCAAAAATGCAGAGAGAAACCGAACACTTAACACAGTGCTCCAGCAAACGCAACAACAACGATATCAATAAAATCATTGCCAATAAATATAATTAATTAATTAATTAATAAATAAATACGTACAATAAACTGATCGAAAAGACAATAACGGGACTGAGTATTCGGGCGCAAAGAAAACAAAAAAATAAAAGAGGAACCGATATACATATAAACGTTGCACCAACCAACCAACCACCACCACCGCCACCGCATCACCGCCTCAATGCCTCACAGCTCGCTCGTTCACCGCTAATGCCACCGCTCCACCACTACTACCACAACCACTACCACTACTAGTACCACCACAACCAATACCACCACCCACCACCAACAAGAACAATTACAAAGAGCTAAAAACAAGCCAAGAACTGCAACAGAACTGCAGTTCGAACTTCGAGCCGAAGCCAAAACAATAAGACAGTAAAGGCCAAATAAAGATAAAGATAAAGAAAAAGATACAGATACAGATACCGAAAATGTCGTCATTTACAAAATGTGAGCTCCTTCAGAATACAATTGAAATGTTTATTGTGTGTTCGTTGACTATTTAAGAATCTACTATACCAAATACTAAACCATATAGCATTCATAACCTTAGCCCTAGCCCTTGCCCTAGCTATAGCCATAGACCTAGCGTACCATCTATTCTCCCCTATCAATCCCGTACTTAAATGAACTTTGGCCAACTAGCGGCATCTAAAATAACGTCCCCTAGTCCCCTTCCCCCATTTGTGCCCTGTCATGCTTCACCTCCAACTTTAGATCTAGACTTGTGACAACAACCAAATAACATTTCATTCATTTCTGTTATGTTCTATATAAGAGTATACAAAATATAAAATAGCCAACTCTGTCTGTCATTCTCTTTCACTCTATCTCTCTCGTTCGCTCGCTATCTCTATCCTTATGTATCTACACATCTCTGTCTATCTTGTTCTGCCTAGATCCTGACATGTCTTGAACTTTTTTATTCACTTTGTTCTCTCCCACAATAAAACAAACTTTCCGCAACTCGTTTTTTTTTTGAAATTAAAAAAGAAAACACACAAAGAAGAGAAAGAAAGCGATTTCTGTGGTACAATTCTGTACATATACTTCCCGAAAATTCCGAAACGATTGGCTTCTCGAACTTCAGACTTTCCAGCACATTAAACACGAAAACCTGTAAATAAAAAATCGACACTTAAACGATTTGCCTGCTTCCCCATCAAGACTCTGCATGCTCCAATTCAAACCAGAAGACTTCTCGTTTTATGAATGCCACACGACACACACACAAACACACGACATTAATGGGCCTTAAAAATAGAACGCCTAACCATCAGAGCCTAAATTTAACCATACAGATTCCAACTAGTAGACACAAAACTTATCATGGTAGTGATGTAAAAAATTGTGTAATTTCAATTTCGTTTTCCGTACTCGTAGTTCCCCAATTCGTTTGATGCGTTCGTTTCTTCGTTCGTTCGTTCATTCGTTCCTTCGTTCGTTCGTTCGTTCTGTTTGCCAAGTTCGATTTTGTTGTACGATATCACCAACTTGGCCAGAACCAATGTCGCATAGAGGCAATCTAAGAAGCCAAAAAACAGACCTACAAAAACCCAACAAACAATATCCACAAAAACCAGAAATCAATCCAAGTCTAAACATAATCTATCTAAAGTGTTTCTAATCACGAAAATTCTTCATGTCAAATTCTATTTAAACCAATTTAAATCAAACACTAAATACACACAAAACCCGAAACCAAACCAAATCTAATCGAAATCTAAACCAAATAATTGCAATCACAATCGCAGCAGCCCCAGGCAAAGCCCTAATTGACCACAAAGCATATGCGATAGTGGCTACAGGTAAGCTATGAAAAAATCTTATTATAAAGCCACATTCATATCTCTACCCACAATGTCCTTAATCGGGTTACTTAAGCTCCCCCTAATGAGAATGCATATATTTATATACAAATCGAAAGCTATTAAAATTGGTGAAGTGGCACCATAATATCTGAGTAATGAAATTCCAAAAATGAACAACAGCTAACAAGACACTTTCCATCATCCATTAAAAAGTAAAACGTGTGCAGTAAAAACTCCAATGGATAAACTACAATTCTACACACCAATAAACTTTGATCGATCGATTTCATTAAATTTTAATTATGGGCTCGAACGACATATAAATGAATTTAAAATAGTCCATAAATAAATAGCAAAGCCCTAATTCGTATGGGCAATCCAATAGCTCTTACGGCTCAAGGGAAATTCTCTCTAAATTATTATCTATGGTCCCTTCCGGGGTTCCGCATTGATTTGTGGCATCTTCGGATGTTGTCGGTGCCCCCCGAGTACCCAGTATTCCGCTTCCACTTCCCTACGGGCTCGGGGGGGGGGGGGGGGGGGGGGGGGGGGGGGAGGTGCGAGGCGTTTTGTTTTGTTTTAGCTTGTGAACTGTTTGTTAATTTCTTTTCCTCTCTCTCCTCTTCTTTTCCTCTTCTTTCTCTATCATCTTCTCCTCTCGCCCCCCCGCCCCCCCCCCCCCCCCCCCCTCTGCCTTGCGCTCGCTGCC